GTTATTACCAATTTGAAAATGCCACGACATAATGAGTTTTTTAATAGTGAGAAATCCAGATTTAAGTCCACTGGATTTTTGAAAATGGTCACAATATTCTATTGTTATTAATTAATTGTTATTGTTATCGATTATTATCGTTACTAATTGCTATAGTTACTGTGTGTTATTGATTTTAAATGTTAACCTTAAAATTACTTTGAAACAATTAAAAGCAGATAACTTGGAAACGAGTAGACTTAGACAATGTAAGGAAGAGTACCTTTTTTTGTGCAAAATTGAAAACTCCTTCAGATTTCTGGTTCTAATTCACCATACCTCAACTGACAAAATAGTCATGACTTGATATCTCAAACGTATAGTGTGTATCTAGCGCCCTCTACGAGTAATCACAAAACAAATATCAAATTCGTATTTCTCATGCTCGAAAACATCTAACTACCAAATTTTATGTTAATAGTACAAAAACCGTCAAAATTATCAAGAAATTTCGAAATAAAAGTGTAACTTTCAACACCCTGTGTATTAAAAACCACCGACATTTGTATAAGACATGTTAGGTTAAATCGTCATATTTTGGTGTCTAGTGTCTCCGGTATTCGGATTTCCCATTCTTTCTTACTCACCCTGTATAAATATTTATTAATAATGAGTAATCACAAATTGTATTCTACATTATTAATTTAATTTCTTTCTTTGTGTTTGTATTTACTGAGTTTATTGTTACCTTTTGTTTCTTAGACTTGATTAAAATTTTTCTTTCTAGTAGAGAAAAAACTAAACACGACTACGTTTTTTCCTAACACTGTAAGCTTTGAGGATCATTGAATGCCCACGCTTTTGATCAATTATTGATATTGTATTCACGGTAAACATAAATTGCAATTAGTTGAAATCATTGCCAACTACGATAAGGTAACTTTTGTAACTGCAATGGCGTAAACAAGGCTTGCAGATATTTAAAAATACCTTTTTTCTGGGTTAACCACTTATGTAATCAAAATCTTATAAGAGACAAAAACGGTTTAGAGCTAAATGGGCTATTCAGAAATTATAATAATGTAGTTGTCGCCTGGCCAGAAAAAAATATGGGGTAATATCCGGTGAACACATGACTTTTCCATCATTCATGTGTTTCTAAAAGTATATCAAAAACCATAAAAAGACGTTAATTGAAGCTGGGAACTCACTTCTGAAAAATAAAAGAATTTTTTTTGTTAACTTTGAAGTCCTCTAGCGGCGAAACGAAGCAACTTTGGATATAGATAACTTAACTTAAATCGACCTATTTTGAGCAAAGGAATCTGTGGTCTTCCGTTGTACACACATTTCGGAGACATCCTGTATATTAAACCAGTAAAAGTGCAAAAATTATTTACATTCCTTTACATTTAAAGGAATGTAAATAATTTTTGAAACATTAATGGTGCAAAAACACACCATTGGGATGTATGATGAAATATAAGGATTACATCATCTTTCGTATTATCAGATACCAGTCTAGACGCATTTATTCGGTGAATTCCCTAGATATAGTTGTTTATGGACATACTGCGTCAATATATGTGTAGTAAGTTTAGCGTTTATTTACATGAAGAGTGCTTTGCGAAGTATCACAATAAATGTTTTCTGTTGATGGGTCAATGGTGACCTCAGGTCATGATATCTCTTGTGCATTTGCAGAGTATTTCGCCTCGGTTTTCGTAGATGGTAGTATTGACCGCTCAATGGTCTTCGGTGGCCAGGGTGTTTCACCTTGGTTCTCTGCTGACGCAGTCCTCAATNTATCAATGCTGTTATTATTATTTTCATAGTTAATGTTATAATTATTGTTATTTTTTTTTTCTTTTCTCGTTTTTTTGCTTGGTATGTAGTTAAGTGCTTTGTTTTTATGAGGATGCTTCACTGGGGATATCCTCCCTGTTTGTGTCCCAATAATAAATAAATAAATAAATAAATAAGCAATGAAATAATTATTGAGAACATTTGCGTTCAGTGTGGTCTTAACTTCACTTTTAATGCATCCTCTTCCTTTGTTATTTTCCAAGCTGCTTTTATTTTGTTTTCTGCGTTATTTATATACTTACAATAACTGGAGTTACAAATAACTGAACCGCTTCTTTTGGTGTTGCAGCCATATGTTTCCTTGCTAGTCCTGGCGGACGTCGAATAATGTTCTGTGGTTGAATTTTATTTTTTGCTGGAGATTCCAAACTCCATACTAGACCACTTGGAGCAATGTAACCACTTGTTGAAGGCTTACCAATATCATCAACATCACCCTCTGAATTATCGCCACCATGATCAGAACTGGATCCAGAATACTCGTCAGGAACCAATACGAAATTTCTATCTTCTGTGTAATCATTTCCTGCTTCTGACACATCACTTTCTTCAGAAGGCAGATCATCACATTCAGCTGCCCACTGCACCAATATTTCTTCATAACCGGGGTCACCAAATCTCACGCTTTTCACATTCCTTTTTGATGCCATTATCATAGTATCTCACAAGTTCACTCAATCCAACTTCTATTCCAACTGAATGAAAAACAGCTGCACCTACTTTTAATACATCCAACAGTTATGCACGTTTTAACTTGCACAGACACGCACAATTCCGCGCAGCAGTGTTTGACAAATTATAATAACCCTCAACCTGTTGTAAGGAGCAGCTCTTACTTTGTTGTGTGGGCGTGCTAAAGGCGTTGGCGACAAGCAGAACCTTGTCACGCCGGCTTGAATTTAGGGAGCAAAGTTAAATGAAATTTGATAAAAGAAATCAAGTCAAATTTAAATACAAAATTTAATGAATTAAAATCAAACGAAAACAACAGCAAAAAAAAAAAATACAAACTAAAATTAATAAACAGAATTAAAGTTAAAATAAATTGAAACAAACAAAGTTTAGCTACAAAAATTACTCAAAAACTTTATATTGATTAACAACAAAAGAAATTTTAATCTAGTAATTTATCTGACTTTACTTGAAAATCTTTATAACCAATTTTAATTAAAAACATTAAAAAATATCTAAGTTCAACAATTACAAAATGATCAATTTAATAAAAAGAATAATTCAAAAATAATATCGAATATTACGTAGGTTCATACCAAATCAGAAAAAGCCAAAGCAATTAGTTACAATCTTTACAAGTTAATATGTAAAATAAAACATTAACGACTTACCAAGGGTCAAAGCGATCATATTGAGAGGAGTAACTCGTTAAAAAGTGTAACACTTTAATTTTAATCCGATCGAATAAAAGTTAATTAATAATTATTAATTAAATAACTTACGTCAAACTTAAGAATTACCGGAGTCTTACTCGGACTTTCCATTAAGACTCTTAACCGAAACCGAATAGGGTGCTTCGCCGAAGAAATTAATTTAAATCCAAACCGAACTCAAAAACTCTTTCGTCGAAGAATAGAGAAATTAATTTTAATTCAAACCGAAAAACTTACCGACGAATAGACTCTTAACAGAACTGAACCCAACTTCCTCAAAAGGCGCTCCTCCTCAATATTTAAACCTTTACCCCCTGGACGCTCTTTCCTCTAGGAAAGATCTTATTGGTCAACGCGTGGTTTAACCAATCAAACAATTACAACTATAACAATTAGACAAAAGAAAAGGAAGGGAAGGATGAGTCGAGCAACGATCCCCTCTATTCGAGAATGAATAAAAATATCAATAATTAATTAACAAAATTTGAATAGATCTGCGGATCGCTACACTGTAATGAACAAGTTGAAACTTGCTCTATAGTAACTAGTAGACTAACGGCCCGATTTATGCATCCTAGGGTTAATGAAAGACCACAGACCGCTTGGATTATCACGCGATTATAATCATTTTCTTATACTAGGAATAACCCTACGACGTTATGCAACTCAACGGGGAGACACCTGTATACACTTAACTCTAATCTTAAACACCTGTTGAGCTTGCGCAAAATAAATCAGTTATTATAAATACGAAGGCTTTCACGGCCGATATTAATTAAACTAAAACTAACAGTAGCACTATCACAAGAACTAACACTAGACCTAGAATCATTCGGTTTAAGCCTTGCGTTTTTTGAAAAAATGTTTGACGTTTCGGATGCCATGTTGCAACCTTCTTCGGAAACAAGTTCGAAGTGACGAATTCGTTTAAAATTTGACAATAAATACATGAAAAGGTAATTAATAACTAATTAGTGTCTAATTGTCAACTAAGTGGTTTTGTCAAATCCGGGTGGAGAAGGCTTCCTTGAGTTCACCAACATCTTCCATGTGCGGCCTCTCTCGTCAATCTTTGGAAGTAATGCCCGTTTCTTGCTAGCACTTTGGTTTTTTCGAACTCTATGCTGTGTCCTCTTTTGTGGCAATGCTCTGCGACTGCAGATTGTTGGATCTTCCTTAGTCGGACGTCTCTTTCGTGTTCCTTGATGCGGCACTCGATGTTACGTCCAGTTTGGCCAACGTAATATTTCCCGCAACTGTAAGATAGCCGGTAGACTCCCGCTCCCTTTAATGGGGTTAGTTTGTCTTTGGCTATCGGAAGAGCGTTTTGTATTTTGCTGACCGTACCGTATCGTACCACGATATCATTCTTCCTCAGACGCCTCGCAATTCGCTCCGTCACACCTGAAACATAAGGAAGGCAGATAAAACCGGCTGATGTCGTACTTACCGAGTCATCCTTCTGTTTGTGTGGTTTGGTGGCTCGTCGGATATCTCTCATCGTGTAGCCGTTCTTCTGCAGCACATCTTCTAGGAATCTTTCTTCTTTTCTTAGGTTCTCTTTATCGCATATCCTCTCTGCTCGCTGGAATAAGGCTAGAATCACGGACCTCTTCTGTTGTGGGTCGTGGTTTGCCAATTGAAACAGTCGTCATCAACCGATCAAGCGTCCCATTAACAGAGGAGGAAACTAAAGTACTCACCAAAGGCTTAAATTATGCAGTCGCTCCAAAGAGGGTTCCCAAAGAAGAAATTATAAGTGAAGTGGAAGCGGCTATTCGCAGAATACCTGCAGTGAAAGCAGAGGAAATTCGTCAAGACATAGCGAGAGTGCTTAAAACAGCAAAGCCACCAAAAATAAAACTTAACAATAAACGAAAGAAGAGCACTACGAACGATAAGGGAAAAACCAGACATTATCATTCTACCAGCGGACAAGGGGAACGCGACCGTGGTTACTGGTAAAATCCACAGAAATCCCAGCAGATCAACAGAATAGCTTATTCGTACAGACTCCAGTACCACCAAGGATATATGGATTACCCAAAATCCATAAACCAGACGTCCCACTACGCCCTATTGTCAGTGCCATAACAGTGCCACCTATCAACTAGCAAAACACCTTTCCAAGATTCTGTCTCCTTTTACAGGTAAAACAGAATCATATGTCAGAGATTCCACACATTTTGTAGAATCAATTAGGAGTATGAAGCTAGACCCTCAGGATATGCTGGTAAGTTTTGACGTGGAATCTCTATTCACCAGTGTACCAGTCAAGGATGCCGTGGATGGTCTTCGGAAGAAACTCATCCCGGAGGGTTTGCCCATGTCCCAGGACTAGTGGAATACTGCCTATCGTCGACATATTTCAGCTGGAAGGGGGAATTATACGAGCAATGCGAAGGAGCAGCCATGGGATCACCTCTGTCTCCTGTGATAGCCAATTTTTTCATGGAGATGTTTGAAGAGGAAGCGCTAAAGAAGAGTCCTTGGAAACCGAAGCTATGGCTCCGTTACGTCGATGACACTTTCGTAATCTGGAAAACAGAATTTACCATGGAAACAGAAAATGCAAAACAGTTGCCATTCCTGGATGTGTTAGTCACTAGGAAGACGGATGGGGGCATGGAACTGGGAGTATATCGAAAGAAGACACATACGAATAGGTACCTGCAGACTTCATCCCACCACCACCCACAACAGAAGAGGTCCGTGATTCAAGCCNCGTCAGAATTTTGCTATTTTTGTTAATTAGCGCCGCGCATTGTAAATTAGTCGTTGATAACTTGTACTGATACGATCCCCCACGCGGAAAAATCCAGTTTTCGCCCCAAAATGGTATAAATAGCCGGCCAAAATTCTGATTTTAAACAGTTCTTCATCAGTTCTACGACAGCTTCAACAGTCCGCAACAGCCGTGATTAGTTCCGAAGACACCCGCTAATTTTTCTTAGAAATACCGGCATTTCAATTTTACCGTAAGTCCGATTTCTTTTGAAAGACTTTGATTTTATTTTTGTTAACTTTCATTAATTTTTGTACATTTTGTCCCAACCTTAATACTATTGGAAGGTTCTTCGAGTATTCCGTTCCTTTACACCTTAGGAAGGTTTCCAGGTGTATCCTATACCTCCGTCTCATTTTTTTTTGTTGTTTAATTCAAACTCATTTATTATAAAGTCAAAGTCTTGTCAATTTATTCCCACCGTCCCCATTCTCCGACCGTGGTCAAAAAGGAATAAACTGCTCTCCCATTTGTTTATTTTATTATTAATAAAGTTTATGGTTATTTGTTTTCCGAATTTTTCTTGTTTTCTTCTTTCCCATACCGAATCCCTGGATCTCCGACTGTAACCCCCAAAAGTTACCTGGAGGCGAAAGAGTTCCTTAACTCTCGAAACATAAGGTGGCGCCCGAGACCGTTAACATCCCGAACATATAAAAGGACACCAAGACCCCTTTTCCTAGGACCGAACCAGGAGAGGTCGTCGCACAAGAAACGGACATTACTTCCAACGATTGACGAGAGAGGCAATAGAGATTCATCGACATGGGAATAACATGAATAGAGAAGATGGCTGGGAACTCAGCCGGACATGGAAGATGTTGGTGAACTCAACGAAGCCTTCTCCACCCGGATTTGACAAAACAACTTAGTTGACAATTAGACTCTAATTAGTTATTAATTAACTTTTCATGTATTTATTGACAAATTTTAAACGAATTCGTCACTTCGAACTTGTTTCTGAAGAAGGTTGCAACATGGCATCCGAAACGTCAAACATTTTTTCAAAAAACGCACGATTCTAGGTCTAGTGTTAGTTCTTGTGATAGTGCTAGTGTTAGTTTTAGTTTAATAAATCAGTTATTGTTATACCACCATTAATATCTTTTGAAGTTAATTAAAGCAATAATTGAATATAATAAGTTTTTGCCCTAGATTTTTTATGCATATTACATGCGCCTAACACGATCATTATTCGAGATATCCGGAAATTTTTAGTGTTACATAGTGTAATACAATACTATTAAAAAAAATGGTTTTAACTTTAAAGTTATTCTTACCCGTGGTGTTTTTATAACCGGAGGAAGTACAACAACATTAGCCATTTCTTGCGGAGTTAACGGGAAAAAGAACATATTTCTTTTAATTTTTTCATTTAGCACCAGTTTCCCACATTTACTCAACTTTAAATCTTTACAAACCACCTTCCTCATATCCGTAACGTCATATTCTTCATTACCACTAAAAGAAACCATCGACTTCGATTTTATAAATTGTTTTCTTCGAATAAAAGTATTGTAATAATCGTTATTCTTCTCGATATGGAATAAATTACTTAAGGTAACGGATTTAATTTTATCTCTTAAAGTAATCGGCTTTAAACTCGAAATGGAGTATTTTTTTAATTTTTTGCTAATTATAGACACATTGTATTCAATGTTAATTTTTGTTTCACCAATAACTTTGAGTTCGTTGTTATTGTAATACATTAAATCGAATTCTAGGTGTGTATTAATTCTTCCTAAACGCTTCGGTGCGATGTGAACGGAAATTTGAATCGACCCCAATGACTTTACGTGAAAATATTCCGACTCCAAAAAAATAAAGGGTATTTTCTTATAACGAAATATAATCGGAAGATTTTTTGAATTGTTTTTTAATTCAATTACTCTTGTTTCTCTCATGTTTATAGTAATATTTTCGATTATCAATGAATCTGGAATTATTTTAACTGATGGTGGTTCGGCCGTACCGTATAAATAAAATCTTGTGTAGTTATCGTCCTTATCACAATTAAATAAAGTAAGAAATAAATCTTTTATAAGAAATGAAAAATACTTACGGTTTGAGTAACAGAAAAATGGTGCGATTTTTCTTTAGAAAAAATATAAATTGATACAGAATCTCGCCCTGAAAAAGATAAATTAAAATACATTTATACTTAAATTAAATTTTAATTTACGAAATGTATTGCAGCGTGAACTTGCTACATTCCTACAAAAAGCTACGTTCGAATATGAACTTTGAAATGTTCCTTCCACATCTGCGGTTGGTCCAAAATAATGGTCGCAAAGGAATCTAAACATTACATATTTACAGAAAAAATATGGTATGTTCTTTGTGTTTTTATCAATCTGAAATGGACTGAAACTAAAGAAATAATACAAATTAATACAATTAAAATTCGCGTTTTAAGAGATTAAATTACGTAAATTTAAAAACTCGAGTTTCGTTACTTTGAAAAACCCCATCTGATGGCGTCATATCAAAAAATTTAAAATCCATACGCTCAATTCGAGCTTTGTCAATTTCCTAAAAGAACAAAAAATAAATTAAGCAATCTGGAATGATTTAACTCTTTAAAAGAAATACTCAACTATATATTTATCCAAAATATCACCAAAGGTGCCAAACATGTATCCAGTAGCACTATAATTTCTTATAAATAAATTTATAGAACATTGTATTCCATAATATGTAGGTGGAAATATTAAACAAGTAAATGTTTCTGTTGCATTCGGATGAATTACTTCCATTTTGGGAAAGATCACCTTACCTTTTATTCGAACCGGAATGTATTGAAATGCACATTTTACATAAATAATGTATTCGATATCTACATCGATTACAGTTACGACTCGGACGATTACTTGGTAAGATTGATGACCCTAAAATTTAAAATGAATTTAAAATATGTTGGCGAACGACAATAGATGGCGTGTGGAGACCGTATGTACGAACTAAAAGAAGTCGGTGTGCATCATCGGAAGAAGAAAGAAGTGTCACACGTGTCGTGTGGACTAAATAATATATATAACGTTTTGTTTAATCAGTTACATATTCTTTTCTTTGTGTTCTAAGTAAAGCCAATATATTTGCTTAGAGTAAAGCCTACTTTAATTTAACGAATAACAAATAGGAAACTTATTTAATTATAAAATGTAGTTAAGTGGTGTGAGCTAAATTTAAATGAAATTGATTAAAACTGGATCAACATTGACTCCAAATTTAGTTTTGTGATATCTTCTAAAATACTGTATTCAAACATAATAACCAAAATGAAAATTAACACAAATTTCCATTTTGATGCTATGACCCGATTTTAATTATTTTTTATTCTAACGAACAGATTTTCATACAAACTGACTGTTATAAAGGGCGAGGCATAAAGGACGGGCGTTTTTGAAAAAACAATATATTGTTACTTGTGCTTCATAAAAAATTTTATTTAAGGAATAATACTCAAACAACATCTCTCAGGTGACAGCCGTTTTCAGGGATGCACGTTTCACGTCGCTCTCGGAAGTTGGCTTCCACTCTCTCCAACATTGCTCTGTTGATTTTTTATTTTTAATTTGTTTTTAAACTTCCACACGAACTGCTTCCTTTAGTTCTTCTAGTGTGCGTGGTTCACGCTCGTATACACGTGACTTGAGGTAACCCCACAAAAAGTAGTCGTACATCGACAGGTCTGGTTACCGAGGAGGCCAACTAATGTTACCAAATAGGGAAATGACTCCGAATAGCTTCCATTGACATTCTTGATGTGTGAACAGTGGCCCCGTCCTGCTGAAACTCAACTTGCTGCATAGGAATACGTCTTCTTCTTAGTTCAGGTAGGAAGAATTCAGTTATCGTCTTGGAAAAAGTATGGACCAATAACATCTATATCGGTTACAACACAAGAAACCTCACCTTGGGACTAATTCTCCACATTATTGCATCTGGGAGCAAAAATGTTACAGACCATTGTGTTAAGGGTACAATTTGCTGCAACTTTTATTGTAAAAGTTTTTCTGTATCATGCTGCGGATACTGATTTTATTTAACACTCTTCTAATTTTCATATTTTTGAAAAATTTTCCACATTGATGCATCTGGGAGCAAAAATGTTACAGAGCATTGTGTTAAGAGTACAATTTGCTACAACTTTTGTAATAAAAGTTTTTCTGTATCATGCTCCGGATACCGATCTTTTTAACACTCTTCTAATTTTCATATTTTTGAAAAACTCTCCACATTGATGCATCTGGGAGCAAAAACTTTACAGACCATTGTGTTACGGGTACAATTTGCTACAACTTTTGTAGTAAAAGTTTTCCTGTATTACCGAAATACTTACCTGCTAGTATAACCGCAGATAAGTATTTCATAAATTCTATTCTGAATCACTACCACCAGTTAGGTCCGCAGTCTGTATAAGATTTTCATAAAAATGGAGAAATTCATTGGGCACAAATCATTGTACAATCGGTATGATGCTCTCGTACTTGGATGATTTTATGGTCAAAGGTGCACCGTATGCCAGTGGTACGTCACTTAAGATAATGCTTTGTCTTTTAGAAGCGCGTATCGCTTCAACATTGTGTCATTATGACATGGGCTTACGTAAACCTTATCGCAATGGACTTGATCATATTTGAAAATCCTATACTTTGATAACGTAAACGGCTTCTTTTTAACAACTCTTCTTCTGGAACGTTTCTTTTTTTCAATTTTTACAAAGTCCCTGTCAGCCAGTATAAAACTATGGCCAGGTTCCAGAAGATGATGAATGATTGTAGAGAATCTACCAATTCGAACAAGTGCCATTAAAAAAGGAATCATTGCGGAGTTCTTATTCTGGCCGCCACACTTGTCCGTAAGAATATACAACGATCTAACATCATTAGATATATAGTTATCAATACTTATACAGGAGAAAAATAATATATATGTATACATAAATGAATTAATTAATAGTGTATGTTGACAAAAGGTCAGTTTATCGCCAAGAGCGATGTCTTCCAAAAGACCCAACCAGCAATGTATGTAAAAAAAATAATCAATATGGCATTATTAAATAATTCAACATTTAAGTAAAAAGAAGAAAAAGAGCAGAGCAAAAGGAAAAAAAAAAGAAGAAACACAACGAGTACAGTTGATAGAGAGAAGAAAAAAAAAGAGAAAAGAAAAAAAAAAAGGAAAAGAGAAGAGAAGCTAGAAAACTCCGAGTGTTGCGTATTTCCGTGGGTAAACTATTCCAAAGCTTTATAGCCTGCACCGTGAAAGATCCATGATATCTCTCGGTGCGATGAATGGGAAATATGAGTAAGGTATCAGACTGTGCTCTAGTAGGCAGACCACGAGACGACATGAATTGAAAGTTCGTGTACAAGTATACTGGGGTCCGAGAAGAAAGTATTTTATATAATGTAGTCAGTATACGGAAGGATCTGCGCTTTTCGACAGTCAACATACGAAGGTGATTTCGATATTGCGTCACATGGTCGTACTTACTCAGGTCAAAAATAAAGCGTAGGCAATTGTTTGCAGTCTTTCCAATTTGTTACGGAGGGCAATTGCTAGGTCGGGATACACCGCATCAGCATAATCTATGTGGGGCAGTATTAATGAGTAACAAAGATTACGACGGACAGCAAGGGGAAGGAAACAACCAAGTTTACGCAAGGAATGAAAACAAAAATAGACCTTCCTACAGACAGACTGAATTTGACACCGCCAAGACAGCGCTGAGTCCATTGTCACCCCCAAGTTTTTGACCGTATTGGTGAGATGTATAACATTGACCTTGACTTGACAACTTATGACCTAAACCAAGTAAGGCACTCAGGGGCAAATCCCATAGCAGACAGAGACGACACCAGTAGGCTATGATCCACAGCATCAAATGCCTTGCTGAAGTCCAGCAAAACTAACAAGGTTATTCGTCGATCGTCACAGTTACGCTTAATATCATCAGTAACCTTGATGAGTGCCGATGTGGTACTGTGGCCTGGTCGGAAACCAGATTGATAGTCTGTACTTAGTTTATGCTCATCAAGGTAATCCTGCACTTGATTGTACACCAAGCGTTCAAGTCCCTTAGATAATACGGAAAGTATCGATATTGGCCGAAAATCACTTAGGCGAGTAGGGCACTTAAACTTAGGAATGGGAACAACGCAGGCCTATTTCCAAATTGCAGGAAAGGTCGAAGACTCTATGGTGAAATTAAAGATATGAAGTAATGGTAGATTATGTCCAAGATGAGAAGGAGTTGCCTAACACTAACATCATCAGTGCCAACACTTGTAGAGCGCGTTTTTGCAAGAGCGTCCCGAACCTGAGACTCATCTAACATGGTGAAGGAAAACCGAGAATTGACGAGAGCAGAACCACTGATAGTGAGCAATGTTGATTTCTTGATTGATTCGTCAAGAATAATGGGCGAATTGGCAAAATATGCACCTAACGAATTACAATCAAAGCTATGGGAGGAAGGAGTTTCAATTACGCCAAGAGAACGCATGGTCCTCCAAAACGTTTTTGGTGTTGTGTAAGATAACTTCTGATAAATGTAAGTTTTTTGGCATTTCTGCATCGGTGGTTACAGAGGTTCCGTAGAACGCGGTAGTTTTCTCTATTAATATTGGAAGCGTTTCAGCGAAGAAGGATCTTAGCCATGTTGAGCTTACGCATAAGATCTCTGATCTCGTTATTGAGCCACGGAGCAGGCAAACGCTTACGATTATCGCATACAGAGCAGGTATCAGTCCAGGGTGCACCAAATGAAATATTATATCTTTCAGTAAAATATCGATAGTAATAATCATAAGTAACTTTAGGCTTATTTTCCTTCAACAATTTATAGTTTTCACACATACATTTCATGCATTGTTTTCACATTTAATTCAGCAGGCAAATATTTCTTCTGACTTTGACTTCACGAGTAAAGGTATTTTCGAAGAGGAAATAGCACTCTTTTGCTATACGTTGAATTCGAGATTTATGAATTGAATGCGGATTACAAAACGCTGTGCCCCAAATCTGCTCCTTTTTGGTTCCTATTTCAATAGTGTACATAAAAGTATAATTTCGATTGTAAGATTCCTTGTTTTCTATCCACTTTCTTCTTCTTTTTACTTCAGAAGCGGTTACAAGACCACTTAAATAAGCATTCTGAACATTTTTATCAGCGTTCTTATAAAATCCTTCTAATATTTTGAAACGCCTAACTCTGTAAATTTCTCATAGCACTGCTTTCTGCATTCACATCTGCCACCCCGCCTTTTTGCCTCAATTTGTTTCTTAACACTATTTATATATGCTTTTCCACTATTTCTTGCTGTCTTCTTTACACTCCATTTCCACTAACTAGAGATCTTAATCCGCTTTCTTCCTTTCGATGAATCACCTGTTTCAGTAACCTCACTTGCCACAAAAATGTTGCCGTTTTTAGAGAATTGTCACTGCCATCACTGTTTACACTTTCTTCTTGTAGTCTGGGTCAAGGTCGCTATCACGGTACGACGCACATCCGTCGTACCGTGATGTCCGTTGACTACTGTTCGGTTGGATTTGGTGGAGATTGACGAGACTTTGGCTTACCCGCGATATTCATTCATAACGAAATGGATCTAAATCCTCCATTCTTTTGGTAAAAATTAGAACATAGGTAGGGTTGCCATACGTCCCGGTTTTCCGGGACTGTCACCGGTTTTGTCATCAAAGTCCCAGTGTCCCGAAAAAGCTCTTCGGGACATGGTATTGTACCGGTTTTAAAAATATGAGGTCCCGTTCTAGAAGTAGGGGAGTTTTCAATAGATTTTAGGGAAATTTCACGCGTGAGGTTTGCAACTACTGGCGCCCGGCCGTGCAGACAGCATACTGTACACAACAACCTCCGCACCAGTTCATCATTCATACTGATAGGTGATGGTTGGTGTTTTCACGTTTTAAAAGCTGCTTACTATTATACTGTGCTTATTCAGTGTGATTGTGTGATTCATTTTCCGTGTGGGTGTGAACAATGCCGAAACGAAAGTGTCACTTCCGCGATGAGTATTCTGAAGAGTGGACTTTTATTAAGAAGGGAAGGAATGAGGAAGAAGCATACTGCTCATTCTGCAACGGCTATATTTTCATAAGTCATGGTGGTAGAGCTGATTTATTAGACCACCTAAAAACAAACAAACATAAAAAAGGTATGCAGGACGCAACCTCTTCTAAGCCGATCGCTGATTTCTTTGTAAAGAAGAATTCCAAAGAAGATGTTTTGGTAACTGCTGCCGAGCTAACCACAGCATATCATATTGTTAAACATCACCATTCGTTCAAGTCAGTTGATTGTTCAAATAAGCTGAATCCAACAATGTATTCAGATTCTAAAATTGCAGCCAAACAATCTACGGCACGTACTAAAGCCACAGCGCTAATTAACAACGTACTTGCTCCTCATTCAGTTAGTACTTGTGTATCAGAACTTGAACAAATCCCATTTTATGGGATATCAACCGACGCTAGCAACCACAAAGCAGAAAAAATCTTTCCGCTAATCATTCAATATTTTAAAGAAGATTCAGGTATTACAAGTAAAATCATCAAAATTTCCTCATTAAAAGATGAAACATCAGATACAATAACAAACTATTGTTTAACAAGCCTAACTGATGCAAACCTTCCTCTAGACAAGTGCTCTTCGTTTTGTGGTGATAACACAAATACTAATTTCGGAGGGGTGAACCGCAGAGGAGTGAACAACATTTTCCACAAACTGGAAGATGTTTTGAAAAAAGAGCTAGAAGGAATTGGGTGTCCTGCACACATATTGCACAATACAGTTTCTTGTGCAGCTGATGTCCTTGCTGTTGATGTTGAAACAATAGTTGTCAAACTGTTCAACTATTTCTCAATCTATACCATCAGAACTGAAGAACTTAAAAGTTTCTGTGAGTTTGTTGGCATAACTTACAAACAGTTACTGTACCACTCAAGGACAAGATGGGTATCACTCATGCCTGCTGTTGAGCGTATATTAAACCTATGGGAAGCTTTGAAATCATATTTTCTAAGCCAGGAAAAGTCTCCAAAATTGCTTGTAGATTTTTTCTCAAACTCACTGAGTGAGGCCTATCTCTGGTTCCTTCACAACCAGCTATCATTGTTCCACCGAAAAATAAAGAGAATTGAGTCTTCAAAAATTTCTGTGATTGAAGTCAAATTAATATTGGACGAGACTTTGAAGAGTGTGAAGGAACGAGAAGAATCCCTGTTCATTGGCCTGAAAACTAAACAAATCGTAGACAAAGAAGATAAAACTGTCAGAGATAAGTTCGTAGAAGAATGCAAGGACTTTTTCCAAACTGCCCATGGTTATTTGAGAAAATGGAGTGAGTCCCTCCAGCACTTGGCCACATTTGAATGGACCACATTGGACACAGTTCCTGAATGGAAACAAATCGAAAACACCCTTGCTTACTTTACCGGCAAGAAAATATCCTTCCCAGAAAGTGAAGTTTTCGGCCAATTTTCTTGTCTTAAAAACAATATCACACTGTTAAAAGACAAGCAAGACAAAGAAGAAAGTAAGTGGAAGGATTTAAGCTAGAGTGAAAAGTGGGTCAAGTATTTCAATACTATGGACAAAAGCCAATACTCCAACTTTTTGAAAATGTGTGAATATGTTTTTTCAATACCAGCTCACAATGCGAACGTGGAAAGAGTGTTTTCTATGATGTCAAACCAGTGGACTGACGAACGCAACCGGCTCTCAGTTGAAACTGTTCAAAATATTTTGATCTGCCAATATAATTTTAATAAAACTTGTATCGAGTTTCATAGCTACGTTCAAGGCCAACAAGACCTTCTCAAAGCTGCCAAATCCTCCGAGAAATATGAGTGGTTTTAACTTTTTTCAAACAGTCCACTTTAATTTCAGATAGCTACAAATACGCTTACATACTTTTAGTTTTAGGATATGTTAAAGAGTTATTCTGGAGTCTCCAGAATAATCTCAGACTGGAGTGTTTTTTTAGTTCTATTGATTGTAATAAAAAGTAGTAAGTAATAAAAAACTTGATTTCGTTGTTAATTTAAATTTTCGTTCCTTTTACCAAGTAAACATTGTTTATAAAATAGTTGTTAAAAAAATAATGTTCATAGTTTGGTCAAAACTATGCTTAAACCCGTATTTTATAATTTAAAAATGAAAAATCATTCTTAGGGCGTAAACTGGACTACGTTAGTCGTTCCCCACCTTTTTCTCATACACCGGTTTACTACACTGGAAATATGGCAACCCTAAACATAGGACACATTCGACAACACGTTTTATAGGCCATGTTATTGCCACCAACAAAAACAAAATAAATTTTTATAGTAGAAGGTTGTTGGTTGCAAGATCAGACTATGTAAATTATACGTAGACGATTTTTACACCCAACGATGGCCGGTACCTAAAATAGACAGACACAAGCAACCGGTTGTTATTTTTATTTACTTCCCCAACACTTTTATTTAATAAATCACAGTTCCAATTAACATAACTTTATTATTCGAAAATATATGAACTCTTACAACCGACATTGTCTACGACTTGGATTCTAACCACCAATACACAATACTACCAACTGTTACATAACAAAAATACTAAATTATCTTATTCTATTTCTAACATTCCTCCTCAATTTGAAATGTTTTTTACTAAACATGAGAATTGTATCTTATAATCTTATTTCTATGATTTATAAATATGTCTTTAACTAATGGCTTCGTTAATATGTCCGCCAGATTCTGATCCGTTGACACATAATTAATTTGTATTTCTCGTTTTGAAACTAGATCTCTCAAAAAATGATTTTTAATATCGATGTGCTTAGCGCGTTTTGGATTTTTATGACTTTTTGACATCAATATAGATCTTCTGTTATCGCAATATAATACTATATAATTTATCATTTTTAGGTCATTTAAATCTAATCATACTCGGCCTCGGCCGTTGATAATGCTACACAGTTCTGTTTCTTGCTAAACCAAGCTACTGAATTTCCTCCACACAATGTTACATATCCGCTAACACTTTTTCTATCATTCAAGTCAGTTCCCCAGTTGGCATCAGAATATCCTTCTAGTTGCAAACTGCTGTATTCGTTTTTATAATAAGTCAATTCTAGTTCTTCTGTTTTTTGTAGATAACGTAAGATCTTCTGCTGGTTTATCAAGAAATCTATTTAAATATTACACCGAAAACGTTATGTTAGGTCTAGTTGTTGTTGATATGTACATTAGACTTCTTATCAATTTTCTAAAAGGTACATTAACTGTATTACTTTGCGGATTATATTGAAAACCTTTTTCCATTGGTGTTTCTTTTTCTTTGCATTCTGTCATCTCAAATTTATTTAAAAGTTTTTCTATAAATTTTGTTTGATATTTTAACATTATATATATCTTTAACATTTTTGCTATTTCCAATTACCAACATGTGGATGATACATAAATCAAAATCGAAACCTTCTCACTAACATACAGACAACAATCATGTTTTGATCTCTCAAACTTATTTTTTATTGCAAAATTATTGAACGTATCATTCCAAANAATCCAAACCTTTTCACTAACATACAGACAACAATCATGTTTTGATCTCTCAAACTTATTTTTTATTGCAAAATTATTGAACGTATCATTCCAAATCTTGGGTGACTCTTTCAAACCATACAAAGCTCTGTTCAATTTTAATATCTGTGAATTGGTATTTAATCCCCTTGGTGCATAAAGATAAATATCACTTTCCAACTTTCCATTCAAAAAAGCTGTGGGAACGTCCAGCTGTCTTACTTCGTAATCCTTTTCACTGCCGTTGACAATATTAACCTTATTGTAGACATCCGAGCAACAGGCGAATAATTTGGTTCAAACGGATTCTCATTCTGTAACTGAAACCCTCTTGCTACCAGTTTTTTTTTGTTCCATCCTATTTTGTTCTGAACACCCATCTTGTTTGGATAGCCTTCTTTCCTTTTGGCAATTGTGCCTCTGACAAGGCTTTTAAATTTTCAAGAGAATTTAATTCCTTTTGAATGGCTTGTTTCCATTACTTACAATTTACTGCCTCTTTGTATTCTACAGAATCATTCTTATCTGAAGATATTAAGCAATATGCAGTATAGACTTCACATTCACTAAGATATTTTGGAGCATTTATCTTTCTACCTCGTTTTGTCTCCTGAGTTCTTCTTCACTTTGTATACTTATTTGCTTATTCATTTTATTTACAATTTCATTGTAATTCGTCTGATTTTCATTAAATTCTACATCTCGTGAACATATAATCTCGTTCTTCTCATAATTCCATAATCTATATCCTGCTCCTGTGTATCCTACCATTATACATGGTTGAACACGTTTTTCTAATTTATTTTCCTTTGGCAATATTATTGACCATGCTTGGCTTCCAAAAACTCTCAATTTCAATAAATCATTTTTCTTGTACCATCTTGTGTACCAACTCATACGCTGAGCATTGGATAGCTTCACCCCATAATTCTCTTGGTAAATTTGTTTCTGCAAATTTGGTTCTAACCTTGTTCAAAAGAGTTCTGTTCATCCTCTATGATGTACCATTTTCTTGAGAAATATGTAACATCGTATACTCTAGCCTAATACCCTTATTTCTACAAAACGTTTTAAAATAATTAGAAAGAAATTCCCCTCTTAGCATACAATATTTCGTTGTTTTTCGCTGTTCCAATTTTGACTTCCGATTTTAACTTTGTGACATTTGACAACTCACTTTGGAGGAATTTGGGAAGCCGGTGTAAAATCATTTAAAACGTGTAATTGGAGATTTAACCCTTTGCCTGTTTGAATTCACGACCACTTATTCCAACCAGCAAAATCCGGATCTGTTCAGCGAGTAGTCTCATATGTGTTTTCTATTCTTTGCTGGAGATCCTCCAAGTTCTTAACAGTTGAATACACTAATGATTTTAAGTAACCCCATGCAAAAAAGTTTAGAGGATTTCAATCAGGTGATCTAGGTGGCCAAACTATTAAACCTCCTCTTCCTATCCATCTACCATAAAATTCAGTATTAAGAAAATTACGAACGAATATTTATAACCTATCCTGGAAAGATACATCTTCGTATAATATCGGCAAGGTGTTTCGCAGAAAGTTCAAATAAGTTTCACCAGTTAAGCGATTAGAAGAATCGTTGGTCCTATCTATAGGTCACCAAGTATACCAAGCCAAACATTTACAGAAAACTTATACTGACTTCTTGATTGCACAACAGCGTGAGGATTTTCATCCGCCCAAACGTGATTGTTATGAAAATTCAAAATTTCTTCTTTTGTAAAAGCCGCTTCGACAGTGAATAAAACACTAGCATGAAATATCGGATTTTGTGCAAGCTTACTTCACAAAATACTCTCCTCGAAACGTAGTCAGGAGCTACAAGTTCTTGCACTCGTTGAACATGGTAAGGATACAGTTGTTGCTGACGTAAAATTCTCCAAACTAGAGAGGCTTCTTACACTCGCACCTAGATTTCTTCAACCCATTTCAAAACATCCTCTTTTACTGCAGGTGTACTCACAGAGTAGTGAGTTGTTTTAAAAAAACCCACTTCCGGAAAACGTTGATGCAACTTTGTGAAAAATTTATCACTAGGTAAGTTAAGGTTGGGGTAAGTATCCGAGTAACGACGACGTGCCATATAAGCGTTGCCATTAGTAGCACCATACATAAAGTGCATGTCTGCCATTTCTGCATTTGTGTATTCATTCATGCTTACATGAAATAAAAGCACCCAATTACACCAGCGACAATGACGTGAGATTGACAATAACTAAAGACAAAATGTGTTTAGTTAGACTATATTATATGAACTTTATTGAAAAACAACGTAAAATCAATTATATCTCTGAAACAATTGATTTTAGGACATAACTTTACTAATACTTTTTTGTTTATCTTGATGAGAACTATATGTGGGTAAAATATCCGAACACAATTTTTAAACACCCGGTATAACATATAAAAATGTTGAGCCAATAAAAACTGATAAATAAAAAGAAAACCATCACAGCTTTTATGCATCTTTTTAGCTATTACTGTATCATCAAAAATGCTTAATGAAAAAAAATTTGCACCAAAATCTAAGGAACCCGGAAAGGTTTTTATGAAGAGTTGGAGAGTGCTGCTGAGGCCTCACGCCTAAACAGAGTACTATCCCGCGGCCAAAGACACAGTTATGATATTCCAAAAACGTGTGATGGCAATTTTGCTAAGGATCGTTGCATTTACTAATGGATGTTCACTTTCCAGGTTTTTTTGCAAAATTTTTCAACATTTCTACACCAAGTGGAATTTAACAACTCTCCTACTAGCCAGGACTGGCAGATACCCAACCAGGTTGTACAGAACGAATTGGTAGAATGGGCCGTTGGCAGTCTTGAGCGCTTCAAAACACCCGGACCCGACGGTATATGAAATTACACTTGATGAGAGTTTTTAAAGCCTGCTTAGCCTTTAACTACGTTCCCATTTGCTGGAGGAAGGTTACAGTAACGTTTATACCAAAGAATGGAAAAAAGGACCCAACGGATCCTAAAGTTTTTCAACCAATTTGTCGATTATCATTTCTTTTAAAGTCACTTGAAAGACTATGTGAAAATTACATTAGAGAAAATGTACTTAAAGCGTTTCCTTTGCACTCGCACCACCATGCTTATATCAAAGGTGAATCTGTGTATAGCGCCCTACACATGGTAGTGGGGCGCATCGAGGAAGCACTTGATTCGAAAGAGCCTATTCTGGGAACTTTCCTTGACATAGAGGGAGCGTTTGACAAAACCACCTTTAGTAGCATTAATCTGCAAAAGACAATAACATCAAACTACACGGATTCTGCACTGATGTATAGAAAACGATGGTGAGTCACGGACAACGCTACTCACTGCAAAATCAAAAGTGGCGCCAGTACGATCAAACATTACTCTTCCAAGACCAGAGCTATCCGCAGCGGTTCTTCTATTCTGGGAACTTTCCTTGACATAGAGGGAGCATCTGACAAAACCACCTTTAGTAGCATTAATCTGGCACTGGAATCTCGAAGAGTACCATTGGTCATCATGGGTTAGATAAAAACAATGCTAGCAAGCAGAGTTGTTCAGGCTAAGGTCACACAGTACAGAGAGCATATGAGGTATTCTCACCGCTTCTCTAGTGCTTAATAGTTAATGATCCGTAAGTTAAACAATAATAACTCACAGTTGGTTACGCCGATGACGTGGCTATTTTGTTAAGAGATGAACCTGTCAATTTTCTTTGTTACAGAATTCAGCAGGCGCTTAAACTTGTTGAACGATGGTGTGAAGAACATACCCTCTCTGTCAATCCTAAAAAGACTGAGACTATTCTCTTCACTAAACAGACGAACTGGGACACTTAACGCCACCCAATTTCTGTAATAATCCATTAACCTTTGCTCCGGAGGTGAAATATCTTGGTGTTATCTTGGATAAAGGACTAACTTGGACATCACACATTAGTTGCAAAACCAAAAAAGCAACGATTATACTGACCCAGTGCCGAAGGGCTATTGGGAATACTTGGGGACTAAATCGGAAAGTTACAATGTGATCTACACTTCTGTGATAAGACCCATGGTAGCTCACGGAGCCATAGTTTGGCGTTCAGCACTAAACAAAGCTAAATTGCTGCATCAATTGCAACGACTGGCCTGCCTGCTAATCACACCTATGAGATCTACACCTACTATTGTGATGGAGACTATGCTGAACATGTTGCCCCTAGATTCTTTTATCAAGGAGGTGGCCGTGATGGCGTTGCTTCGATTGCGATCAGTAAATGATAAGCAGGTTGTTAAAATGGGAATAGTCCGGAGCAAGCTCTGGAGTGAGGCTGTTCGTAAACAACCCCTCCTTAAAGCTCGCACAGACTACATTACACATACTTTCTTTAGGACAAAGCCACACTTTGGCATTGAAACGATACCCCAGAGCAACTCAAGCTCGAACAAAACGATGACCATCTACACTGATGGATTAAAGATGGCTGGAGGTTCCGGATCGGGAATTTTCTCACTCGATCTCCAGCTGCAACTTTCCACTTCGTTAGGATCGTATTGCACGAGTGCTTAAGTTGAAATAACTGCTATAAACATAGCAGCCAAAGTCGGCAGAAACGTTGTAATCTGTACTGATAGCAAACAGGCTATGCTGGCGGCCTGTAAGCACCAAACTACATCATCGTTGGAGGAATCCTATCGGGAATCACTCGAGGAGGCAAACGTATACAACAACATCATGATAAAGTGCCGAAAAGGACACATCGGAATTAAAGGACATGATCATGCAAACAGACGGAATCGTTTGTACCACTAGCTGTATTATTGGAGTTTATCAGCTTCGATACTGTATTAACAGCATCGAAGCTGATAAATTCTATCTCCCATCGAGATTTTTGCGACAGATGGGATGGGACAGCAGCAGGTGTCCTTGCTAAGAAAACTCTGCTCTACCCTGACCGGACACTGCAGGTTACGTAAGCATATGTTTTACATGAAGCTGGCGAATACACCCCTCTGTAGACGGTATGAAATGGAAGACGAGACGGTAAGTCATATTGTTTGTGACTGTCCCAACCTCGCGTACTTAAGGGAATTCATTTTCGGAGTACCATGGCTCCAAATTTCGGATATAAGGAACATACCTTTCTGTTCTATATTAACGTTCATGAAATGATTGGGCTGGTTTTCTGACCCTTGAATGAACAGTAACTCAAGAAACTCACCCCCACGTGAAACTACATACATCTAAGGAACCCTACACGTAAATTTAATTATAATATTTAAATTACTTAATAGTCGTGCTTGACCAGATTGTAATGTAATGTATATTTAGGTTAAGTGAATTTAGTAATTACAATACTTCATTTATGCGAAAGAGTAAAAAATACTTTCATAAATAAATTAATAAAAAAAGATATATACAAACTTTTACTCTACCCCTTATTGGTTCAACAATAACGTTCTCCCCGCATCTCCGTAAATCAACTTGAAATGAAAAATCCCTTTCAGTTGCGTTGCTAATTGTTAATGTTTGAGAAACTTGTAAAGTTCCAATATTTAATAATCCAAAATCAATATCACTAGGTGTGACAGTAATTGTATTAGACGGAGGTGACCTTAAATAAAAATTAAAGTTAGTCGCAAAAATTAAAATTAAATTAAATATTTACAATACAGCCAAAAAATCGTATTTATAATCATTAACGTAAATTGGTATTAAACATTCTTTTTCAAAATTTCTATCTAATTTTTTCACTTTAATTGTTTTGATTATTTTTAATCCCGGTGGTAAATCAATACCAGTCGGTATAGTTTCGATTTGAAACACCTAAAAAGTTTTAAATTGAATTAAATATTTGTTGACACAGAAAACTTACTTAGTACTTTTGATGTTGGTTGGAGTATTCTTATCATCACCTTTGATTTTCCTACATTTTGAAGCGAAAGTTTCGCTTGATAATCCGTTCTAAAATTTGTTTCTTGAAATATCATCTTAGAAGGAGTAATTCGAACATAATGGAAATTAATAAAATCCTTAATAGGTTCGGGTTTTGTCATTTTATAACATTTGCTGGAAAAAAATAATGGGTTCTTTTCAATTAATCATCAATTGATAAATAACAAAAAGTACAACAAAATTAATTCAATTAACAAAATGTTGAAAAAAATGTTAAACCATCAATTGACAAACAACAAAATAATAATTTTTTTTGTCAAAAATTTAACAACCGTCAGATTATTTGTCAATGATTTCACCAATTTTAATATCTTTACATAATTCAGAACACAAATTTGCATTGTATACAATTAAATTAAACAGATAATTAGAAATAAACAAAAAAGGAATTAAGATCTACAAATATTAAGCTACAGCTTAGAAAATATATCCTAGCCGAAGGTCGTATACAGTACTCAACAAAATTATAAATGTAGGTATACAGTACGCGCGTAATGTATGGAAACATGAAGAAATCTTTTTAATGGCTATATCAATTTGAACAAAAATTAGTGTGTTAGTTTTTGAGATAAAATTATAAAACTTCTTTTTTTAATAAAACACTGTATATTTTTAAATTTGTTAGTGATATTTTTATTATCTATTCAATTCAGTGATGTAATATTTGTATACATACCTAGCTTTGTTATTTTTTAACTTATCTCATGGTTGCAGAACTCCTAGACATGAGGAGGTTTGCGAAATGTTTAACAATAAGTATGAAAACAGAACGCCTATAGGACGAGGCACTGTATCTAAGATCATAAAAAAATTGAGGAAATTGGGCATACACGTGATCGTCCGAAAAGTGGTCGCCATCCTGTACCAGACCAAGAGAACTTTTTATCTGTGTTTGAAGATTCAGAACGTTCTAACTTTTTAAAACAGTCTTTCTCAAAGTGTGCGATAACGCCCCCTTGTGGGTACTAGAGGCCTACAGGTGGCGGTAAAGAGCGTAGAGAAAATTGGGGGTTCTGAAACCGTTCAAGAATACGACGACTGGGATTAAACTATAAAAACTAAAATCAAAATCGATCTACTATACAGGAGATTAAATATACTATACAGAAGAGTAAATATTACCGGGTGGCCAGATACTGCTTATAGAGGACCAGATACAACTTCCAGAACACTAGAAACTGCTCCTAGAAGACTATATACTACTGTTAGAATAGTAAATATTACCGGAAGACCAGATATTACTTGTAGAAGACTAGATACGACTTCCAGAAGACAATGTGTTTGGGTGTCTTCAAAAACACTAAATAAAAACTTGTGGACTGTATACAAACTGGAAACTTTATTGAGTAAAGAAATCAATACGTAAATAATTTTATCTTAAAACACAACTGTCTTCGCCAGTGGCCGAATTGCTTCTCTTTTCTAACGGTTCTTTCCACCCAAGTCGACCCTACGCGTCCCGCCGTCGCCCTAAACTCGACGCCAATGTCCATGTGGGCGATGAGATCATCACAACACAAAACTTTAACGTACACAAGGTACAGCTTCTAAAAGACTATATACAACTGTTGGAAGAGTAAACATTACCAGAAGGCCAAATATTGGTTGTAAAAGACTAAATACAACTTCCAGTAGACTAGAAACTGCTTCTAGAAGACTATATACAATAGACCGGAGAGAAAAACAGAAAAATTTACGAATCGAATTTCAACTTGTTCATTACAGGTTGAGGGTTATTATAATTTGTCAAACAATGCTGCGCGGAATTGTGCGTGTCTGTGCAAGTTAAAACGTGCATTACTGTTGGATGTATAAAAGTAGGTGCAGCTGTTTTTCATTCATTTGGAATAGAAGTTGGATTGAGTGAACTTGTGAAATACATATGATAATGGCGTCAAAAAGGAATGTGCAAAGCGTGAGATTTGGTGACCCCGGTTATGAAGAAATATTGGTGCAGTGGGCAGCTGAATGTGATGATCTGCCTTCTGAAGAAAGTGATGTGTCAGAAGCAGAAAATGATGACACAGAAGATAGAAATTTCGAATTGGTTCCTGACGAATATTCTGGATCCTGTTCTGATCGTGGTGACGATAATTCAGAGGATGATGTTGATGATATTGGTAAGCCTTCAACGAGCGGTTACATTGCTCCAAGTGGTCTGGTATGGAGTTTGGAACCTCCAGCAAAAAATAAAATTCAACCACACAACATTATTCGGCGTACGCCAGGACTAGCAAGGAAACATATGGCTGCAACACCAAACGAAGCGTTTCAGTTATTGTCCAAGAAATTGTGAATTGTACTAATTTAGAGGGCAAACGTGTTTATGGAGCAAAAGGAAAACCGTATAAAGATGTAACTGTTGATGAATTTCTTGCATTCTGTGGTTTACTTATTCATGCTGGGATGTTCCTGCGAGAGAATTATTTTGTGATGAATTTGCCAATCCTGTATACCGAGCCACAATGTCCATATTTTGCTTTGAAGAAATACGAAGATTCGTCAGATTTGACAAGAGAACCCGGAATGCGCGTTTGGAAACCGATAAGTTAGCAATGGTGTCCTACATTTGGGATTTATTCATTCAGCAATGCAAAACCTGCGTCATACCTGATACTAATGTAACTATTGATGAACAACTAGTTGGGTTTAGAGGTAGATGCACATTCGGTCAATATATGCCAAGTAAACCGGCAAAATATGGACTTAAAATATTTTGGATGTGTGAATCTACGTCTGGTTATGCTTTGGATGGTTTAGTTTATGTTGGTCGCCAGCCCGGAGAACCTCCACATAAAAACCTGGGGCTTGAAGTAGTACAAACTCTTGTGCGTGGCATTCATAATTCTGGTCGCTATCTTACGATAGACAATTTCTTCACTGGTGTTTCGCTAGCAACTTATCTGTTGGATAAAAATATTACTGTTGTGGGTACACTACGTCAGAATAAGCGTGACATTCCGAAAGAAATGAAAGCCTCAAAAGATTGTGTAGTCTACTCTTCATTGTTTTGTTTTCAAAATAACGTATCCATAGTAAGTTACGCACGTAAAAAGAACAAATGCGTAATTTTACTAAGCACCATGCACCACCACGCATCTATCAATGACGACGCTAAGAGGAAGCTAAGAGAAATCATCTCTCATTATAATAAAACAAAGGGCGGTGTTGGCATCATGGATTAAATGGTGTCGACATACACGTGCAAGAGGCAAAGTAAACGATGGCCCACGACATTTTTCTTCAACATCATTGATGTTGCAGCACTCAATGCATATATTGTCTTTACGAAGGAACATCCAAACTACAACATAGGAGTGACTCACAAACGCAGAATGTTTTTGAAAAATTTAGCGAAGGAACTAGTGATAATTATGTAAGAATATATAATTCTAAAGATAAAGCGGGAGCGGATAGTTTCGTTAATAGGTGTTCTTTCATATCACGAATTAAGTCACTATTATTGCCATAGGTGGTATTTAATCTTAATTTCGCGCTTTGTGAAAGTTTTGCTTTTAAAACAATTGTTGTTAATAATTTTTTACCGTCATCATTTAACAAGTCATCATATAATTCGATGGAATCAATTAATTGTTTTGTGGTTTCTTCCGAATTGTCCATTGTTGGTAACAAATTGGAAGCTGTTTTTAAATCAAACTTTTCAGCCATTTTGGTACTACAATTTACTTTTTTAATATTAGTTTTTCTTTCTGCTAAACAAGTTCTTATTCCCTTTAGTAAATTTTCTATTTCTACAACATATGCCCTAGCTTGCTTAATTATATCAATACTATTTTATTTATTTATTTATTTATTCATATTCGGGACACGTACAGGAAAAAATCCCAAAAAAGTGTCCACTACAATAATATAAAAGAAAAGAAAAGAAAACAGACTACATAAGAAAGAACAAAAAAAA